CTATCAAGTTCCTCTGAAGGAAAATCATGTCTTGAAGAGAAATGTGGACCAACAGCTAAGAATTAAGATTATATATGACGGAAGTGTTGAGGAGTGAGTATTTTGTTTTGGCAACCTTTTTTTTCCCCTCCATGTTTGAGAATGGAAATCCTGTTAACTAAAGCATGTTTGTTTTGTTTTTTAAATACAGTTTGTTACCTGAGAAAAGACACCTTATAAAGGTATGTCATATTTGCTTCCCCTTTATGTTTGTATGTATTTTATTGCATGGAGGAAGTTAAGTTTATGGCCAACTTAATTAAAGGCTTTAAATATCAGCAATTTCATACCCTCTCGTCTGGGAAACCAAGGCTTTGTATACAGATTATGCCTCCACTCCAAATACTTCCAGTGTTCTGTTGAATGTTGTTTAACAGGTACAAAGGTTTCAGTGAGACGTTAAAGCCTCTTTGAAGCCGTACATTCAAATTTATATGGGAATACTGAAACAAAACATTTCCCAAATATTGTGATAACAATTGAACTTCTTAGTAAATCTGGATTTCTGCTGTTCTAATATACCACAACACCTAGGAAGTTTCATGTAACTTGGTAGTTAATGCTTTTAAGGTGAGTTATGTCTGCGCTGCCACTGGGTGACTTATTTTTGTTCTCTTCAGAACAAACTTTTTCCACAAGCCATATCTTACTTGGAGAAGACATTTCAAGTGCGCAAATCCACGGGTACTATATTACTAAGCAGGTATGTGAAAGTTTGTTGAAAATCACTTGCTACACTTGGTATTTGACATTGTGTTGTATAGCCTTTAAAACAAGAATAGAATAAGAGCATAAGAAATGCTCTCCTGAATCAGACCAGTGACCAGTCTGACCTAGTGGTGGTAGGAGATGCTATTTAGGGAGAACAGATAAATCTGCCAACCTTCCATGATCAACATCTACATTTCTGATGTCAGAGGGTACATAAAGGGTATACATGCTGCCTGTTTCCTTTTAGATGTAGCCCCATTTATGAACCTGTTCCTAATCTCTCTTTGAACCTGTGGATACTCCGTTAACAACTGGAAGCATTGTGTCTTCCAGAGCAGGGTAAATGTACTTTTCACCATGGAAGTTACATTAAATATCTGTATTACAGTGTTGTCGGGTGCTGTAAGACTATTCTACAGTTTCTTTTTAATTATAAACCAGTGCTGACTGTCTTTCATGCTTGATTGAAGGCAGTGTGCAACAAACCACTATTTAAGGAGGAAAGCTGACCCTCACAGATACTGCCAAGGAGCCTGTGCAGACCATACAAGATGCGGGCCAGTCGTCGTTCCTGAGAAACACCTCCAGGTAAACTAAGCCATCTAAGTGCTTTCTAACCTTGGAAATATTACTGTTTGTGGAAATTAGTAAAAAAGTTAATATCACTAACTGTGCATAAGTGACCTGCTTGCGGGCGATCACTGAGTTTGAGTGACAGAATAGAACAACTTGAGTTAGTGGGAGTTTTTTCAGTTTATGCTGTTGAACCAAAAGTCAAGTAAAACTGAACTGTTTATTGTTCTCTAAGCCTGTGTTATAATGAACTGTACAAAGAGGATGAGATTCAAAGCATGTTAAATTGCTGCTAGTCACTTCATTATTCACCTTGGTCAATGAGTCAGATATTCACAGAATTAATAATAAGTTTTGATTTTTTTGTTTTAAGACCTTACTTGAAGAGGTTATCCACTGAACCAGGAGCATGGTGCAGGAAATGCTTCTAATTTGTTTTCTTGCATGAATTTTTGATTCAACTACAGTATGTGATGAGTAGATTTCTTTCTTTCTCTTAGCTTGAATTTTCATCCGCACTATTAAAAACGTACCAGATTACATGTGAAATGCAATTGCTACTTCTGTATACTGTTTCTGTGAGCCAGGTTTTTTTTTTTTTTTAATTTGTAGGAAATAAAGGGTGCTAATTGTGGGATATCTATTTTGGCAGGCCCTTTTTTTCAAAAGCTGCCACTTTCCTGGTGTCTAATAAATTAAAAGAGCTAGTAATCTGAAAGTTATTCTTTGGCTTTGGTTTTATCTACTATCTTAGGGAGTTTTCTCATCTTTTGGCTGTCTTACAATGAGATTTATTCTTGGCTTCAAGCTAATTGAATTTTGTCATGTAAAATTTCTGTCATAACTAATGTATTGTAATTGTTACCTTTGAACATTGCCAAAGCAATGCAGGGTGTACAACAAGAATGAATGGCTCTGCACACCCACTGGTGTACCTGACCAAGAAGGGGTTCGAGATGCTGACTTTGTACTTTATGTTAGTGCTCTCACTACCGAAAGGTGTGGCCATGAAAATATCATTGCGTATGCAGCCTACTGCCAACTGGAAGCTGAAATGGACAGGCAAGTATTTGCTCTGGTACAACACCTTGTTTTTAATTAAACTTTCAAGTTTCTTAATTGTTTAGATGTGCGGTCTGGTTGTTTGCCTCTCTTGTACAGTATAGCACAGTAGAAGTCATTACTGAAATAGACAAATACTATATTTCTATAAAACCACAAAACAATCAAATAGTGCTTAACTTGCAAAGTTGAAGCATTTAAGTCAAAGCTAATCCTCCACTGTTATTACCTAAACTTTATCTCAGGATCCGGCTTCTGTTGAAGTGAATGTCGTATTGCCACGAATTTAAAGGAGGATGCAAATAGGCCCTACTTACATAGCTTTTGATTCTAGCTCAGTTGTAGTCATTGTAACAGGCACTTTGCACCTCTTTAGTGTCTTACCTAAAAATCAGATCTCCTATACTGTTGTCAGCAACACCTGTGCAGAAAACTGAATATAGAGACTGATCCCATCCCATCCCTCCCCTTTTCAACAGTAAACTAGTCACATACTGTTAACAGACAACTATTCATGATTGGGGAAGTTGTTTGGAAGAGCTTATTTTTACATTAATCTCCATTTTCTTTTAAAATATTCTGTCTCTTCAAGAAGAGACATATGATTTGAATTTGCTAGTATTTTACTGAAAACCATTTAACTTTCAAACTGTCTCCAGGCCAATAGCAGGATATGCTAATTTGTGTCCAAATATGATTTCAACGCAAGCTCAGGAATTCATTGGCATGCTGTCTACAGTGAAACATGAGATTATCCATGCGCTGGTAAGGGTTCATGTTATAAAATGCGTTTCCCTGAAATTTGTGCCTGCTTCCTCACATACCTCCAGTTCGTTGCAAGAGAAGTATGTTTGGTGGAAGAAAGTGCTTGTTTTCTCGCCAGTTTGTGTGTTAATTGCCTTGAAGTGCGGTACTTCCAGTGTGTCTGCCGTGGGAGTGATAACTCCTTTCGTGACACTTGACTTGGCACGTGAATGTCTTGCCAAAGGTTTCTGTGTGCTTGGTTTTTAACTTGAAGGGTTTCTCTGCTGGACTGTTTGCATTTTATCGTGATGATGATGGAAAACCTTTGACAGCAAGATATGCAGATGGACTCCCTCCTTTTAATGAAAGGTATTTTATTTTTTTGGACTTCTTGGAACTCCCACTGAAGGATGTTTTCATGTTGCCTTTTTAGGATGTATTCTTATCTGTTGAAAATCCAACTGGATTCTATTACTAGAATGCTTTACCTTTTATTATATTCAAACAATGATGTGTTGTGCTTTTTTAGTCTTTCTTTACATTGGCATTAAGCACTTTTGTTATCCACATATATTACAAACTAAGGCAGGATTTAATTTATCAGGAGGCTTGAAGTTAAGCATTAACACTACCCATGCTTAAATTCTGATGCTTTCTGAACACCTTACTAAATCAAGACTTTTATTTTCCGTAGTCTGTCTAATGTCAATGTGGTTCACTCTTATTTAAGACCTATATCATTCAGGGTTTACAGTTAGGCAGAACTGACAATGTGTATAGTGTGTATTCTGCTGCGTGATTTTTTTTCTGACTTGTTATGGAATGAACAGTTTGCCTTTTTTTCTTCATTTGGTTGATATTGTGGAAATGTTCTAGGGCTGTTTTGGAGGCAGAAGGGTAGAGAGCTTTTGGTTTTGTTCAACTTCCTTTTTATAATAGGAATTCTGAGGATTTTTCCTTTCTTACACTTTTGGTAACTGTAGAAAATATATCTTGAGTCTACAGACATCTTTTTAATAATCTCTTTGGTTTATCAAATCAGAGTTGTGTATATATTGAATGCGTATCTTATGAAGGAGAAGTGTTGGATAGTAAATGTAAACTTTATAAGGCATGAGGAAGTATAGAGATTATTTATGATTTTGTTTCTTGCAGAAATAAATATTGCACAGTAGTGTGTATTTGTGGAAAGATTTGTAACCAAAACATTCTTCTTACAGTCTAGGTTTGTATCAGTGGAGCAATAAAGTCGTTCATAAAGCAGTGAGGTTATGGGACATACGTGGTGGCAAAATGCTGCGCCATGCTGTTTATCTTCTGATAACGCCTCGTGTAGTTGTAAGTGTGGATTAGCTTGAACTTTTACACTTTGTATGCTGAGGTTACCATCACATTCTTGTCATAAATATTTCTTATCCTTTAAGGAGAAATAACCTAACATTGAATACTCTTTTTCTGAACGTATGTCCCATAGTCCCAAAGACTATGCAATTCAGATGGTATGATTAGTTGAGAGGGTGGAAGTGGAAAATGGTTGACAGATACAGTATGAAATGAGTAAACTGACAGACTAAGAGACAATGAAAGGACTGGGGAGTTAGTTATAAAAGGCTAAGCACAGTTGATATTGAATAGATTCCTTAATCCTACTCTTCAGGTGTCTTCCTACAGACTCAGGTATCTAGTACTCCCGTTGCCTTAACAGATACCATTGTCACTGCTTTTCTCATTTATGAGTTCATCCTATTTTCTACTTTTGTCTTTAAAAGCATTTTAAAAATCTTTTTCTAATTTTATCAATTACAAAATAATGCAGTTAACATTTTTTCATGTTTAAAAGAAATTCCTCAAGTATTCTTGGAAATCATTCTTGCTTCCCACACCTCTGACTCTCCCTCCTGCCCCCAACAGAACATATGCTTAAGTGTAATAAATTGGTATTAGAAATAAGTTATGGTGTTAGTCATATTTGTCCACAAATAATCTTTTTGTTTCTTTTAAATCTAACATAGTATAAAGAGCAAACTCGGTTTAATTACCCTGTTTTGAAAATTGGCCATGTTGGTCAAAATGTTCAGAGCATTAAATGTACTCCTGGGTAGCGCTGCACCAGCAAAGGCTGGGCTCCTGACCGTGAGACTGCAGCATTGTTGTGATGCCTCTTAAGATTTTTTCAAGTATTTTGCAGAAAACAATTCCCCATGCAAAACTAGTTGACAAGCACAGCTTCCTACTAGAAAAGTGTTTTTTCCCTGAAACGTTTGACAGAAGCAGGGTTGTAGTGTTCCTACATTGTTTGGGTTTTTTGTTTGGATTGTTTTTTACATGGTCTTTAGTGTGTGCATGCTATTCTCAGCTAATTCTGTTACTGTTTTACTGTTGTAAACTTCCATCATTTATTTCTAGGAGAAAAGCAGACAGATTGTTAGGCTTGGTGTTGGGGTACTTTCTAGCTTAGTCAGCCTCTGAGCAGAAGTGTCTTACATTCAGAGGAAAACAAGATGGTAGAAAAAGTAATGCTGAAATACTTTTAAAAGATAATTCTAGAAGATTAGGGCTGCATATGGGTATTCGTCTCAGTATTTTGAGACTTGTGTTGAAATGTTTTCTTTCTAGGAAGAAGCTCGAAAACATTTTAATTGTCCAATTCTAGAGGGAATGGAGCTTGAAAATCAAGGTGGCATGGGTACGGAGCTCAATCACTGGGAGAAGAGATTGTTGGAGGTTAGTGCTGATACTAGGAATGGAGGGGGTTGTGGGAATGTCTGCACCCCCCGCCTTTATTTTTAGGTTTATAATGGTACTTACTGGAGCCTTGAAAACGCAGGTATATCAAACCTCACCAAAATATATCACAAACAGTGCTCAACTACAAATACTTAAATGTCCAATTTCTAGATAAATTTTTTTTTACCTTATTGCAAAGTCTCAGAGTACTGGTTTGAGATAAGCTGATTACAAAATCTGGCTCTTACTTTTGTGTGCCATTTGCCATTTTGAGAAGGTATGCTTACCTTATAGGGGGTGGGGGGTATTCCTTTGAGTCAGTTCAAATTTGTCACCCTGTGCCTCTCATATGCATCACATATTTGACTGTTCTGTCTATTCATTATCTTGTCTTCATCTTCATTCATGTGCCCTGGGGTTAGCTTTTGCCATCTCTACTTCAGAACCTCATTTGGTCAAGGAAACATTTATTTCCCTGCTGACATTTAAGCTTACTTTTATTTATAACTTTGTGTTCTGTGATATTTTGGGCAGAGATACACTTTGTAGTTATTGTTGTATGCAGTGAGGTAAGCAAGAAGGGAAATGCTTCAGGACAGACTTTTCTGTGGAAGTAATCTTGAAAAATGTGTTTCTTGAGACCGAAATGGTTAGTTTTACTGCTTTTCAGTAACCTTTGGTGTGGAACAGTAGTTTAAAGCCAGATGGAAAGATTGCCATTAGAATGAGGATAATTCTAATGATTGAATAGGGTTAGCAGAAAGGAGATAATTACTCCTCTCCTTTACACCTTTCCAGAGGAAGTTTGTATCTGGAAAGCAACCCACATAGTTTGGTTTTGGTCTTGATCCAACTCTGATTAAGTATTGTAATGCTATAAATTTGGTGCTAGTAAGTCTGCTGGTGGTAACTCCTCCTGACCACACTAGTGGAGAGAGAAGGCTGGAAAACCACATGTTTTGAAGAAATAATAGAAATGAGGTGAAGTTCAGTAATAGAAATCCCACAGTTGTATAATGAAAGGTGAGCAGCTCTTGCTCTAAGCCTGAAGTTTATCACAGTTGGTAATGACTGAGCAGGAAGAAGACATGAGTGTTACAATTACAACAACAAGGAGACTGGTGTTGCTCTTTGAGGATGGTGTCAACTTGCTTATTTTTAAATGAGATGGAAAATTCCACTGCCACATTAATAAAGCTTCATTTGGAGTGATGTGTTCCTTTAGTCTTGGGTCCTGTGCATCTCACTCCTGAAAAGGACTACTCAAAATTCTAGGAAAAAGTAAAAAATCAGTCTTACACAAGATAACTTGTGTATAAGACAATAAATGAGCTTGGCTTTCAGCTTACCAAAAGGATACAGAAGTGTGGGGTGTGATTACTACTTATAAATACGCTAGAAGAAGGAAGAATTTTATTTTAGGTAAAGAACAACAAGTACATGTTGGTCATGAATAAGGTTTAGCTGGAGTTTGGAATCAGGTTTCTGACTTCTAGAATTCTGAAGCTGTGTAGTGTGGACTGGGGAAGGGAGTTGTACTTTTCATCACTTTTATAAAAGAGGTTGGGATTTAATTGTCAATAGTAAGAAGAGACTGGAAATAAAATGCTTTTTCATAGGAGGCATTTTCTTACAATAATGATTTTCAGTGGCTTGCTAATAGTAACTGGTAACTTTCAGAATGAAGCAATGACTGGATCCCATACACAGAATCGAGTCTTTTCCAGGATCACCTTAGCGTTAATGGAAGACACAGGGTAAGAATTAATAAGGGGGTGGGGGGAGGGGGAGGGCACCTTGGTTCATTTGTGTTTTGGTTTAGATTCTACTTGATTTTTTGAATTGATGCACTTGTGTTTATCTGTCTGCAGCACAGTAGATAATAGGCATAATTAGATTATAATTACATAATATATTACATTAGACAAGGTGTTATACCTAGTACGTTAATATTTTTCATGTATTTCAAAACCCATCCATTCTTAATCTAGCCTTAAAAAAATGCATTGCAATGCATAGTACTGTTTGTAGTGTCTGTTTACTTTTTTCTTAATTTGTCTTCTCTGTTGCATACAGTACATGGTATTTTTTTCAGCTCTTCTTGCAGATAGAATAAATAAATAATCTAAAATGTCATCTTTGCATTTCTGAATGCATTGTTCCTTTGCAGATCACAATCCATTGCTGTTGAACAAATAAGTAATAAATTTTTCTTTCAGTCCATTGTGACTCGACAAATAGTGAAATTGTAATATATTTTGTTATAGGTAGAAAGGGATGCAGTTTCCCTTTTTCTTCATTTGAAGACCTTAAGGCATAGTGTGAAGTTCTTTGAACCGCTGTTTTATTAATCAGAACACTTAATTTTTGAAGTAACTGTATTCTCATTTCAAAATACCTTTACAGCTGGTATAAAGCAAATTACAGCATGGCAGAGAAATTAGATTGGGGACGCAATAAAGGCTGTGACTTTGTAATGAAGAGTTGTAAATTCTGGATTGACCAGAAGAGACAAAAGTAAGTAAACAGTTGTTTTTAAATAAATAGGAAACCCTGATGCTTGTTTACATTTGTCCTTCAAATGCAACTTAGTGAAAAGAAGTAGAGGTAGATACAGATTGACAAGGAATGCTGTCTTAAGTACCTTCAAAATGCACCCAAGAAGGAGCACTCGAAATGTATTCAGTGCAGAAGCATCCCACCCAATAAATACAGAGCCAAACATCTTAGGGTGTAGAATGCATTTACACTATAAAAGGGCTATGCTTTAGAGAGGAGGGGAGGGACTTAATCTAAAAGTGTTTGCTTTCTTATTTTGTCCCTTTTAATTGGAAATGCAGCCTGTGTCATTTTGCATTACTGGATTGTAGTTAAAGCAACAGAGGAGATGATAGCCACCTTCAAAACAAAGCTTTCCTTGTTTGTTCGTTACAATACTCATAAATTTCTAGGATACAGCTGCATAGTGGGCCTCCTTTTGCTTGTATGTTGTTGCTTTGTTTTGTTCTTTAAAGTTTACAAAGCAATGTCATTAAAACTAAATAGGTGAGTGGATTGTAACTGTTTGCTGGCTTCATATTTTTTCAATTAGGAAGGTCATAACCAGACAAATAACAATAATTAGCCTCTAGAGAAGAAGTTGGTGCTTCTTTGTGTGATTGACAGAGTGTGGGGGAGGGTGGGAACAGCCAGTCTTGACAGACTGCTTATTTAAATTATGAAAAGCAGTTAAAGTGATGTAATATGACTTTTTTTTTTTTTGCCTTTGAGGAGGCAATTAATCAGTCCATACTGCGACACTTTGAGGAGTAACCCTTTGCAGTTAACCTGCAGACAGGACCAAAGAGCAGTAGCAGTGTGCAACTTGCAGAAGTTTCCAAAGCAGTTACCTCAGGAATATCAGGTATAATGGGTCTTACTTTACCAAATAACTGTTTTGATTCTTGTGCTTTGCAGCTAGGTGATTATATTTTTTTCATTTTTTTTTCTTTCCAATTTATGAATGAGATTAGATATTGTGAAAAATGTCTGCTTAGTTTATTTTAATGAATCTGCGATTAAAGCCTTGTGATCTTAATAAAACAATAAGGATGTCGCTTGGCCATCTAACCAAATATCAGATGGAAATGTTGCTGTATAACAGAAGTCCCCAAGAAAGTTTTGTTTGAGGTATTTCTTCACTCAGTCTGCTGCCTTGTGTCACTGCATGCTAAGAAATTTGTTCTGTTTCATCCCAGAGAACACTATGATTGCAAAGGGGGAGAGGTGGGGAGTGACACATGCAGATGTGGATTTCTTTGTATTATTTAAGCATTCTTAAATACTTCTGGTTCATCTGGTTCTTGCATATTGTAAGTTACTGTTAATGGCATTTCTGA